GACAAAATTATTGACAGCGAACTATCATTAGAATCTTCAGATTTTGCCTCAGCAACTAAAGGAATGGCAGTTAAAGATTGTGATATGGATACTCTTTTGTCTTTGCATAGGCGTGGATTGATCTATTTCGATGTACCTGTCTCCGAAAGTGATCGCATATCCGTTCCTACTCTTGATGGGTTTGTCATGAACCGGATAACTGGCGACAGCTGTGAGACTTTGTTGTACAAAATATTTGTTTCTGTTGATGAAAGAACTACTGTCTCTGAGCTTGCTTCTGATCTACTAGTTAATATCGATCTCGTACGTCAGGCTATTTCAGTTTTCCTTCGCTTAGGCTTTGCGTGTAAACGTAATTCTCAATCGATTGATTCCGAGCTTAATGCAATTTCAACAGATGGCTTGGGAAACCCTTTGCAAATGGAAACTGAAGACTTATCTAAAAAAAAAATTGCCATACTTTTTGATTCTACTCTTGCAGCCTACCTAATGATGGGTAACCTTTCATCAGGCTTAAAACGCCATGCTGTCACCATGTTTGAAGTTGGAAAACTCACGGATGAAAATTTGGAATCGTTTCTTACTGAACTAGACAACTTGACCGATGTCGGCGAAGGAGAAGCCCAAATATACTACGAACATGCTGTCAATCTGCGGGCCATGCTTCGGTTTTTCCGTCACCTCTTATCAAACTCCGGCAGTAATAATATGTTCAATGGTCTAGACCTCCTTAGATGTGGCTCATTGCTTAGTTTGGAACCGGAAACCCGCCTGAGAATCTTAAAAAAAAACTATGGTCTTTTGATAAGTCTTGCGCCAATTACTTATGAAGACCAGCAAGCAGCCAACTACCAATGGCCTCCTCACTTTGGTCCACCCATTCCAGAAGCAAATTCTCCTTGGTTCAGACTTTTTATAGCCTACTTAGCTTTTGAAAGAAGATCGAATTTCATGGATATACCTCCTTGCCTCATATTGTCACGTGGCTCTCGATTAAATACTATCCCAACATGTATGTTGCCATACTCGTTGTTTAGCTTCATCGCTTGGGGGCATGATCCTACTATTATTGAATCGGCGAACCTGCTATCTGTAGTCAATGATGCTTTGGTTGCTTCTCCCGTTTTTATCCAGGTATCTGGTAGCTTCCGATTAGAGTCTTCATATTTTTTCTACCTAATAGTATCGATTATTGTTATATGCTTTTCTGACAATGTATGAAAATGCTTGCTACCTACCTCAGGCCAAAATAGCCGTCGATGGATATTTTTGTCC